ACACATACACATACACATACACATTGCACATACACATACACATACACATACACCTACACATACATATATATATATATATACACACACACACTGAGACTGCCGTGCCTGATGATGTTCGCGCAAGGGGATGCGTTGATCCAAAGAGAGTGGTACTGGCATTTCTGAGGCGCAATGTTCGGTTTCCAACTCAGTGGTACTGGCGGTTACTAGCGATACTGTGTGTCGGATGGCCGGCCCTAGCAGCCCGAGCACAGTGCAAGCACTTGTCCGCTAGGGTGTGGAGTCGTCTGAAACTGGCACCTTTGAAGTGTAAACTGATATGGCGGCAGCAGCTTTCGGCTGCAGTCAAGCCTATCATGCAGTCGAATTCGACAGTGCCCGCCCGGCTTGCTCTTCGAAGGCCATGGCCAATTACAAACTTTGGCAGAGCCTGGGCTTTGCAGCAGGGTTCTTCATCGCCATACCACTGAAAGAATTTCCAGCAGTTCGAGGACTAAGCTTTGAGCCCAGTGAGAACAAAGCCGGCTGGAAGCCGACAGGGTGCCGCTCGTTGTGCCATGTCCAGGAGCAATTCTTGTTTCTCTCTCGGTGCTGTCGCTGCTTTCGGTCCTACTGCTGGACCGTCGAGCACTCGGTGGAAAGCTTTCAAACCTCGCTGGAAGACTCAGCTTGCCTGATGTGAAACTTAGGATATATATCTCCCGTGGATGGTTTACGAGACACAGAGCCGTGTCAAGTCTTAAACGGATGACGCTTCTCGAATGTCGCGGTGGCAGCTTGACAAGCTTGCCATCTATGAGACGTCGTTTGACACATATCCCAAAGAGGATGCATTCGTTCTGACGTCGTTTGGATGTCAGAGCACGTGCGATGAGAAAAAGATGTAAAGGTTTTGCTTGCCTGATCTCCTTTCACCTCTCCTGTCAATCCCTTTAGCTTGGGCAGTCTTGGCGGATCTGCCGGAGCCTCCGTCTGCGGCAATTCCGACGTCCGGTGGTGGTCCTGGTCTCGTTCCTGCCTCAGAATCTGTCACGAGCTGCAGTGCTGTCACTGCCTGCTTGCGCTGTATGCGCTGTCAGGGAGTGTTCACCGAAACCGGCCTTGCCGAAAGTACGCAGCAGGCCTTTTTTTTGTGTTCCAGCGGTGCTTCGCGATTTGCATCAAACGCCATCTTGAGGTTCTTGTTGTGTGTGCAGGTGGGCAAAGCTTCCTCGCCGCACGTCTCGTGACCCCAACCATAGGGAATTGCTTGGGGGGCTGCGCTGCGGTCATGATTCTAGAAGCCTGCGAAATCCCCTGCACGCCTGCGCCTGCCTGCCTTCCTGCCTGCCTGCCTGCCTGCCTGCCTGCCTGCCTGCCTGCCAACCTGCCTGCCTGCCCGCCCGCATTGATTGATCAAGCGTGAGCTTAGGCCGCTGATAACCGAACGAACCACGGTGGTTTTGTAATTCGTGCCGTTACATACCCAGGGTTTCTATTCTACAGTCGAGCTTGACCACCATGATATCGTTATGTCACATATCGTCCCCGTGGGGAACAGGAAGCGCAGACGGGCAGAACGGAAGACAGCTGACGTCGCAGATGATGTGTGATGTGTGGCTTCTCTTCGGAGTTCCTGCTTCGTTCGGGCCATGGGTGGCTTTCAGCGTGCGCCATGGGCATGCCGGACCACGGTGCAGGACGTATAGATCCTAGTACAGCCACGCTGCCACGCCTGTCTTAAGTCGAGGATGTCGAAAGCCGATCTTGGAGCGTTCTTGCGATTGGGACCAGATCCGAGCAAGGAGGCGTGGCTCACGCGAGGGGGCTTTGGGACAGCAGAAGCTCCGGGGATCCCTCTGTGAGGTCTTACGGTTGCTCGCATCTTGGACAGTCTCCTGGCTTGGATGTGGTAGCATCGTCGTGCGGGGCAGCCGCGTGTTTCAAGGATGGTTGGAGACGTACCCCAAGACCGGCGACGACGTTGCTAAGCGCATTGGCCAGGAAGGGGTACTGGAACGTGGCAGGCCAGGTTCTTTGGCACATGATCGAAGTGCCCAGGCTGCCTTGAGACAGGGCCGCTTCTGAGACGGCTCTGTCAGCCACCCCGTCAGCCTTCAGGAGTCTTTGGAGGTCAATGTCTTCCACTGCAGCTCTGTCATCAGCGCGTGTGAGAAGAGCGGAAACTGGCGGCTGTCACTGGCTCTTTTGGATCTCCACCAAGTCGATATTTCGTCATGCAACTTGCAAAGAGCACGATCTTGTGTCGGGTTCCTGCTACCTTGCTTCGGGGACGTAAGGCGCAGATGTCCGAATTAAAGATCGTTCCGAATCAGATCAGCTACAGCGCCGCGGCGACGACCTGTGCGAAGGGCAATTGGCCTGCCGCACTTTTGCTTATTTACAGCATGGTAGGAAGGCGATCCTCGGCAAGCAACTGAAACATGCGATCGAGAGGGGCACTTTATCGACGGAAACTGCCGCATACCACAAGCTGTGAGCCTTGCTTGAGAGATGCGAGGATTGCCACGTGACCAGGTGAGCTTCTCGCCTCAGTGATTGGTGTAGAGCGACTGGCAGGAAAACCCAAATCAGCAGCAGCGGGTATTTGCAGACCCACAGTCATTCGTGCGTCAATGTGGACCCCCCATGTCCAGCTGAGGTTGGAATGCTGCAATCGATGCTTGCCGTGGAGCTGATTGGGAGCTTGCAGTGCGCATGCTTTTCGACATGCCCAGGCCTCCGTCCTCCGGCCAATGCGGTAGTGTGAGGAGATGAAACTTGAGGACCCGCGTGGCACAAGATTCGGTCAGCTTCGGCTCTGCGATCAGCGCTTGCGAAAGAGGCTTGGTCTTGAAGCGTGCAATCTCGCAAAGTCGGAATCATCGACCCAAGTGCAGGCAGTGCTTGGGAGATGGTGCTTCATCTGCTGGTTTTGATGAGGCAAGCTCAGGCGGGGGCGACACGGCACGTCACTCTGGGGTCATGGCCAATGCAAATCCTCCTGGCATTGAAAGCTTGGCAAGTCTCGTAATGGGGACCCATGCCTGACGCCAGGTGAGGTTGAATGACATCAGCTGTTCTGCTGCCATCAGTGCCTGTGGACACAAAGGCCACCAATGGAAGGTGGCGCTGGTTTTATTTGAGGAGATGCTGGCATTGGATGAGGCCGAGACTCCGAGAGCATCCGAGAGCAGTCTACATACAGAGTGCTTTTCAATTGCCGCGGAGGCTGTGACACCGGACAGATTTGTGTGGAATGCCGCGGTTGCAGCCTGTGAGACGAGCTCAGAGTGGAAGATGGCTTTGGCCATTCTTGAGACCATGTCCCTCAACCGCAAACCACAATCACAATCCCAACCTCAGTACTCTGTGCGCAGTCAGATTTTGAGGCTGCTTTCTCGTGCTGATCTACCTTAGTCTAGATTCTAGATATTTCTAAATGCCAGTCAGCAGTACATAGCAGCTCATAGGCCCAGGATGATGCATGAACAATTTTTGACCAACCATTTGCAGCTGAATGTTTGTAGGTTGTTTGCATCGGTTCAGGGTCTTAGCTTCTCAAAACTCTGAAGTAGTACCTGTCTGTGACTCCACATGTGTACCAGCATCGTCCGACGCCCCAGTCAGCACCAAGGGTGGCTCGTTCAGTTCTTCCAGACGTCGCTACATGCACCTCCTGCATCAACGCTTGCAACAGCCGCAAGCACAGAAGTTGGCCGCACGTGGTGGCACTCTTCGAGGAGCCTCTCGGTGAAAAATATACCCAGGCATGTCAGGATCTGTTGATATGAGTTCATGATGGCTGCTATGAATAACCAATATGTTTTCAAGCAGTGGTGATACGGCGAGGGGGGCAACCAATTTTTCAACCCTTGGTCACCACCTGTTTGGTAGCGAAATTCCTCACGTGAGTGAAGTGCATGTGCCATCACCAGCGTCCAACCGACATTCACAGCAAGCCCAGGATGTCTGCCAGACTTGCCATTTTGTCGCATGCTTAGTGTCAAGCCAGAGATTAAAGGTGAAAGTTTTGCAGGTCCTCCATAACACTGTCGCTTTCTGAACGACCGAGGCCGAACATTATCACGTATTCCGCGGTCATCACGGCTGCCTCGAATGGGCTTCAGCACACATCCACCTTGCAGCTTCTTCTTGCTGTAGAGCCCGAGACCTAGCAGCCGCTCCATTCATCTTGAACAATCTGTGCTCTTCACATGTGCGTCTCGTCGTCTGTGAAGCATACGCGCAGCTAAGTGACATTGCTTGGACCCTCATACGGACGTGAGCCTGTTCCGACGCACCGGTGCTCGCCCATGCAGTTGTTCGCGGCGTGCTACGAGCCAAGTGCGGTGGTTGGACTCCTCGTTGCCAACCCTGCAATGCTGGCATGGTCGGCATTGAGGAGACACATCTACGAGGGCCATCCACTAGCGATCTGGGACTTGAACAGCTGGTGAGCACGAGTTTGCTCTGAAGCTGTCTGCGCTTCTCTCTGCCTGGGGCCTAATTGGCAGCCAGGAATGACCAAGTGTTCTGAGCACCTTCTTCCTCTTTCTTGCAGCAAAATGGCTGCACTGTGCGAAAAGTCTGCGACCAATGCGACCACGAGACCAGGCTTAATCTTGGCGCAGGTACTCTCAAACTCAGAGCCAGCCTGCTCTGCCGGGTGGGACTTCGCTATCGGTCTGGTACTAAAGAAACCGCAATTCGCCAGAGGCCTTGTTTCACTGTGTGGAAGCCTTCAGGTAGCAGAGCTGCTGGGTCTTGGAAGCGCCATTCCCCCAGAGCTACAAGTGGCGGCTGGCGTGCAAAAGGCAAGACCCTTGTACCATAACCAAGGCTGGACCACCTGTGCGCGTCCCAGCACAGGCCGCTGTGGCACCTGGGGCAAGGGCTGTTCGAGCGATGTCGAGCTCAAAAATTGGCTTAGTCGTAGCTCCTGGAGGTGCCGGAGCGTTCCGAGGCTCCGGCGGCTCCGGAAGAGGACGCGGGTCGCAAAGGTTGGAAGGCAACACGCAATCGTCCAGCTCGCTCCCAGGCGTTTCAGCGACCAGAGCAGCTTGCTGGGCATCTGGGCGGGCTCAGTGCCCTGCAGGTTGGCAACCTGGTTCAGAGTCAGCTTTCAGCGGTGGTGGATGCCGTGTTTCTGCAGGGCCAGGCGGCGGTCGCAGCAATGCATGTAAGTCGCTGGCAGGAGGCCGGCATGATCCAGCATCCAAAATTTTCCATGGCGTTGCCTTGCATATCTGCGGAATCTCTAAAGGCGATGAACATAGCTGCCGCCAGGGGCGACCGGGCAACGTGCACCGTTTAGGGTGTTATTCCAGGTGAGTCTGAAAACACGTTCTTCCGAAGGTACGAAGCCGCTGCTCGAGCAAGATACGAAGCTGCTATGTGCCGGATTTGCAGAGGCAGTAGTACTCGAGCGAGGGTTGGCGCCATCAGGCACCTTTTGAAGCCTGGCAACTTGCCAATAAGGTTGCATGAAATTCCAGGCTTTCAGGGTCTTCCGATGATCCGTTAGAGGGCTTTCAATGGCGTCTGGGATTGGCATGGCGGCATGGCCATGCTATGTCATGCCACCCATCTACTTACCGGCCTATCGTCCAGAGGTACCACCAAGCCCTTCAGCATGCCAGTTTTGAGGCAGGATATCGCATGCTGCCTCCTGCTCGTCAAGTCACCGATGACACAAAAAATCTGCAGGCACTCTATGCAGAAGCTGGAAGACTGGAAGGTGTGTGGGAATGCAGACGAGGTACGGCAAAACTGTGCCCTGTTGCTTCAGGCTTTTCTTCTCCAGGAATAGAGGCACCTGCCCAGGCTCCATATGCTGCAATGGTTATCGCTAGGGCGGCTAGGGGCAAAGCTCAAAGGGATCAAGAAGTGGTTTGAAGCGGCAAGTCGGCGAGGCCGCTGGAGCTTCAGGGTTCAGCTCTCAGTCCAAGAAGAAGCGGACTGGGCTGCTAAAGTTACTAAAGTTTACTAGTTACTTGCTTGATTCTGGCAATTGCCAACGAGGCGCACGCATTGGACGGGCATGGGAACAGAGGACGTCGCCAACTCAGCTGAAAACGCAGCCTGCTGCAGAGACCGCGCGGCAACATCCAGGGCCAAGTCGAGTCTGCTCTCGCCGCTATGGCACAGGTTCCGGAAGGGTTCCCGATCCTGTGGCTCTGCATGGAACGGCTGCTGAATTGTCGCTGTCCTTTCCGCAGCTATGCCGGCTTTTAGTGCACAGTGAAGCTGTGTGCGGGGGACGCTGAGGCAGGGCAGGGCAGTCCGAGGGCAGTCCGACGGTCTCGCCGCCTCGCCTCCGCCTCCGCCTCGCAGGGGCCCTCGGCGGTCTCAGCTCCGCGGCCATGGCAGCGGTCCAGCCCCGAGAGAGCTCTTTGCCGGGTACCATCCGTAACGGGAACACGCTGACCGTAACGGAAGCTTGTAACAAGAACAGGCCCCCGGATCGTAACGCAAACCCCGTGGTTCCCGTAGCATCGTGGCGGCAGCTCCTTGTAACAGGAACCTGGGCCTTTGGCTTTCGAGGTATTAGGGCTTAGGGTTATGCAGGTTTCAGGGCTCAGGGTTTAGAGGTTTAGGG